AGAATACGATTCGACGCCTACGGTTTGCCAACAGTTTCTTATAAAGGTCCTCTCGAATCAACTGCTCGTCATTCTGAGTTGGAGCCTTTACCGCTACGTGACTACGCACAGGCGTACCATTCTGGCCAGTCATGGGACATTGTTAAAGACAAGAAGATCCCTGTCATTCCATCTGCTCCTAAGGAGCATGGTGAAAAGAAGGATGAGGTCAGTCGCGGGGGTAAAGAAAAAGTGGTTCCTCATATGAAAACAACTCCGGCTAAGGAGCAGTCACCAACGAGAAGCGAAGAAGAGACGAAAAAGATTAAATTGATAGCTCGCGTCCCTCATAAAACATCGGAAGATGAGTTTGATTCAGACAGATCAAGCAAAGACCGTTCACCTAGTCTACTTGGTTTTTGGAAAGCTGGAAAACGGAAGCAACAAGAAGCGCCAGTTGAAGAGCCCCATCTGACTGCCGAAAAGTACGCGGGTCCGGTAGATAGTATCAATCTCGAGAAAGACATCGATAAGCTTCCATTTAAGGCGCCTCCCCCTGTTCCATACAAGCCAAAATCACAGAAAGGCGAGCAACAAGAGGTCTATAAGCCATCTACCCATGCAGCAGAAACAACCCACAAACCTGCTCATATCTTTGGCAGATGGCGCCATGAAGGTGATGAGGAAACGGTTGAAAAAGATAAAGTACGAATTGACACCTATGGTTTACCATCAGGCTCCTATGAGGGCCCTCTGGAGTCCACTGCTCGGCATTCCGACTTACAACCGACCCCATTGCGAGACCATGCTCGGGTTTACCACCATGGACAGTCATGGAATGCCGTCAAAGATACAAAGTCTCCCATCCTTCACGTGAAACAAACTCCAAGCAAGAATAAAGCGCTAGAAAGTGAAGAGGAGGAGCACAAAATTCGTTTGATAGCACGAGTTCTGCCTAGGGTAGAAGAAGATTCTAATGTTGAAACGAAGAGAAAGGAACCAGGATTGAAATTTTCGAAAGAAGAGGGAACTGTACAGCAAAAAGCACCTATCGTGAAATCAACCACCGTGCGTGAAACTACCCCTCAGCGTTCAAATCTCTCCGGTAGATGGCGTCATGAAGGGGAAGAGGAAACGATTGCAAAAGACCGAGTGCGACCGGAGACTTACGGTGGATCATCGACGTCTTATGAGGGGCCTCTCGAATCAACTACGCGAAGTTCTGAATTAGAGCCGACACCATTGCGAGATTATTCACAGGCTTACCATAGCGGTCAGTCCTGGAATGGTAGTGAAGATATGAGAACCGCTATAGTTGGATCTGCTGCGAGGGAGATAGGTGAGGAGAAGAGCGAGAGTAAAACCAGTGAAAAGAAAGCTATCCTCCATCTCAAAAAGCCTGCAGTAGGAGAGAAGTCTCCATCTTCAGGTAGCGAAGAAGAAACTAGAAGGATCAAATTAATAGCACGTGTTCCACCTAAGTCTGAAGATGAGACTAAACCAGATATCGTGAAAAAAGATAAGGATTCATCTGGGTTATTTGGTTTTTGGAAAGCAAAAAGTAAGCAGGCAGCAACGTCATCTGATAAGTATCATCCAGCTGCTGTACAATATACAGGCCCTCTGGATGATATTAAACGGGAAAAAGATATCGATAAAGTTCCGTTCATAGCACCAACTCCTGTTGCTTACAAGTCATCCACCCTTGAATCAGAAACAACTCGACGCGCTCATCTGTTTGGCAGATGGCGCCATGAGGGCGAAGAGGAAACAATTGATAAGAGCAAAGTGAAGTCTGAAAGTTATGGACTGCCATCTACCTCATATGAAGGTCCTCTTGAACCCACTGCTCCACAAGCTGAGTTGGAGCTGACTCCACTGAAGGACTATGCTCGCGCGTATCACTTTGGTCAGTCATGGAATGACGCTAAATATCCAAAAGGCCCAATCACTGGTAGAGAAGGCGTAACAGAGAAAAAACCAGCAAAAGAAGAATCTTCTTCTCCAGCAAGCGAAGATGACGAGCGAAAGATCAAGTTAATTGCGCATGTTCAACGCCATAGTACGGAAGAGAATGATGCGGGTGAGAGGAAGCCGAAGAAAGAGCAAGATTCAACCGGCTTGTTCGGTTTTTGGAAAGCAAAAAGTAGGCAAGATAAAACTATCACTGATGAGTATCATCCTTCTGCTGAGAAATATAAGGGTCCCCTGGATAGCATTAATCGAGAAAAAGACATTGACCAGCGGCCATTCAAGGCTCCATCCCCTCCTGCGTATAAACCAAAATCACCAAAAGGTGAGGAGAAAGGACAGCATGCCTATAAGTCAACTGCCCATGCCCCAACTGCGTCGGAAACAACCAAACCTCACATCTTTGGTCACTGGCGTCACGAAGGTGAGGAAGAGACGATTGAAAAAGACAAAGTACGATCCGACACCTATCGTCTGCCATCAGGTCCCTATAAAGGCCCGCTTGAGTCGATTGCTCGTCAAT